CCCACTGTCTCTCGCTTTTTAAAAAATCTTCACCCCACCACAAACAACAAATTATATAAACTCTAGCACTACCTCAGAGAAAGGGTTAACCCCACTGCAACTTGACACACGTGGGTCGATCAGATCTGGGCTCTCTCCGCCCACCACCCACGACCCACCCCTCTCGTTACACCCCAGTGCACTCGCGCACGTGACTGAGCATTTGAGTTGCTAAAAATACCCACTTAAATCCAACCCACCCAGAAAAGAACACACAAGAGTCCGCTTCGCGAACCGAACAACTCGAAACAGCTAGATCTAGAGGTCTAGGTGTCGACATCAAAAATATAAAAACGTGTTGTTTGCAGGAAATCCGGATCTGTCTAGGCTATTATCTAACCCCCTTTTTTAAGCAAACACCTGACTCAGCGATTTTATCACGTGCAGGAGAGATTGCTATGACGATAGCTTTCACTCGTTAGCCTACAAAACCACCAACAATAACAGAAGCGGATTGAATAGAAACTGAAACTGCACACACACACACACACACACACTGCACACACAGGAGAGTGGAGAGGTTCGTTCACCCATGGGTACACCAGAGTAGAGTCAGAGAGGCCTCACTGATAACACGGAATGTTGTGGTAGGAAGTAGAAACAGAGAGGGTTCACAGTACAGTAACAATCTAGATTTCTAGTTCTTCATCTCTCGATCCAGTTCGCGGGAGTGTTCTAGATATATCTAGATCTAGATCTAGTAATAGTTTTACTTTTTGCTGTGGTATTGTGCCGGTGAGACAGGGAACGTGAAAGGTAAGACCACGCTTCTTTGTTGTTATAATTTAATAGGCCTATTACATCTATGATTATTTTAGCCTACCAGTTGTGTATTTGTTTGACCAGGATAAATATATTATGGAACAGGCTAGCCACTTGCCTTCGTAAATGGATAGATCTAGATCTAGATCTAGTAATCGTCTTATTATAATGGTAAAGCGGTATTGTAAACTTGTTGTTGGTGGTCTCCGGTTTGGGCCCCAAGTTTACTAGATAGGAATGTAGATGTACGGTAGAGGTAACTATAGAATCTATTAATTAAGGGTCGGTTAAGGTAAGAGGCGTGAAGGGTTAGGTATGGGTTAGGGTTAGTATCAGATGCAGGGGTGGGGCCATTACTGGTAAGGGTAAGGAAAGGTTAGGAGTAGGAATAGGAGTAGGGTTAGGAGTAGGGGTAGGATTGAGGGTAATTAGGGTTGGGAGAGGTCGCAGGCAGTAATTATACCATGTAAATCTAGATCTAGTAGAGCCCCTATTGTTAACTCGTAAGTTGCGGGTCGCTGGTTTACTGAATAAAAGCTGCATTTTTTTTCTGCTTTTTCCTTGTGTTAATTCCTTATTTAATCTTAAATATCTTCTTGCCTGTTCTACAAGGTAGGCTACTTATCCTCGTAGGAAAAAAAATTGCTTTTACATTAACATTTCTATTCTTTCCTGAACGTGTTAGTGGGTAACGCAAGCTTTTATACTTGTTAATATATTTGTTATAGACAGCGAAAGATCTTCAGTTTGTTAGTGTTTGAGCGCTTAATCGGCTGCTTGCACTGTATGCTTCTCGCGAAGCTGAGAATGTTTCGGAGTTTTCTATGGTCTGCTGGGGTAATAATATAGTGTAAAGCGCATAGAGCCGGCTGTTGAGCGGGGACATGCTCTATACAAATGCTATCTATTATTATATTATTATTATACTCTCCTATCTATACTAGACCAGCTCATAAAATACTATCTGAGCGGCTTAAATGCCCCCTTTCCAAATAGTATATTAGGCCTATGTAAAATAATCTACTTTCCATCTGTAACTGGCGGGCAACTTTGAACTTTGAACCCTGCCCCACTTTCTAGCAGGACACGCCCTTGACGTGGGCCAGGTGTTAAAGGTACATATGTACTAAGCCCTACGTTCTCTGACCGTCTAGACTAAGCCCCAAATTTTTTAATTTTTTTTTTTG